TTGGTCGTCTGTCAGTTAAGCCGTGGTGTTATTTTACATTGGCTATGAAGACTGCTCGTAATATCTTTCCATTGTTCTCAAAGTATTAAGCCACATTTTGTTGAAAACGTTCGCGACCAAGTAAAACAATAGCGGAAAATGGTCCCGAGGAAAACACTTGTTTCAGTTTTCAAACACTCGGAACTTGTGAACTGGAAATCATAAACTTTCAACACTGAAAGTAGCAACCTTGACTTAGAAGTACTTTGCTTAGCTTTTGTAGATTAATTTGGTTTGACCGCGTTGAACTCTGAAGCCCTAACGCCAATGAGACAAATACCTCTCCCGTTAACTTCTCATTCCGCTCCCTGCTTCAAACATGCGCACTTTATTCTCAGTTGTGATTGTCTTATTCAGGCGCGGATCAGCGTCAGATGCGGAAATTCTAGGGGGACTGGTCCGTGGGCATGCGCGCTCCCTCGGGAAACTTTTTGGATTTTAACTCCCAAAGATCCCCTTTCCTGGGTTCCTGAGTCATTCAGAGAGGACATTGGCAAGATTTCAACTTAGAAAGTTTTTATTATTATTATTATTATTATTATTATTATTATTATTATTATTATTAAAAATATATTTATTCATGAAAAGTTTGACTTATTTTGTAAAACAGTGGAAACCGGTGTGGGTCCACGCCTGATTATTAGAAATGACTACCCACAATTACAATTATGCGTTTATTTTTGAAAACTATGATAAGTCTCCAACTGTAGATTCATGCATGTACTCTGTGGATAGACCAATGAGATCGGCGTTGGCTAATTGAATAGTATAATCTGATCCGCATCTTCCCTTTCTGTAGGTTTTTTTGTTTTACGTTTTCCTGGCCATCTTGCTGATTGCTTCCTGTGGACACCTCACTCCTCTTGTGGTGGACTTTGCAAAGGTCTACAAAAATGTGTATCCCGATAGGAAGCAGTACGTTCTTGCTCTTTTTATTGGCCTGGTGAGTAACCGGTCAAACGCTATTAATACCATCTTGACTCTAAATTAGTGTGTTGAGACCACCTAGGAAAGAGTTAGGTTGATGAAACAAGTACAGTGGAATCCCGCTCTCCTAAAACTTCGTTTGAGCCCCCTGATCAAAAGATTTTTCCACATTAGCATTGTCATTATCACCGTCATCATCATCATCATCATCATCATCATCATCATCATTACCATCATCATTATCTTAATAGTTCATAGTTCTTGTTTGCCCCGCCATTACTTTTCGGATGGCTTGATGGATGAACGGGATACAACTTTACACTAATGATCACCAAAGGTCGGGATTGTCTAAAGCTTCGATGGTTTAAGATTTTCTCATAGCTGCAGTAATTTATAATTTTATTGTTACCGGCTCCAGAAACAGAATTTACGAAGTCACCTTAAGTAAGGATATAGCTGTTAAAGAGATTTCCTCATATAAAAATAAGTCATTGTTTACAATACAGTAGAGGTCATAAAAACCTCATCTTTACAGATATCATCAGAACGTTTCTGTTTCCAGCAACTCATCAGCGTTATTGCAGTTCCAGATGGGTTGAGCTAATGTGAAGTTCGAAAAAAGGACTTTGAGATATCCCGAGTTATTTTTATAGCATTAAATTGTTGAGGTTTCACAGATGAAGTTAATGTTTTGCAATTTAAATCTATTTCTCGTTTTTCAACAGGGTTTGGGCTACATCTCCTGGATAATATTCATCGTGGATATTACTTTTCTGTACAAGTTGTACCGTCAACAACGAATGCAAGAATTGCCGCTTCAACAGGTGCCAGCAGGCCAAACAGTCGTCCAACCTGGTGTGGTCATAATGCCCCAACAGGCACAGGGAGGGCAACAGACAGCCTTTCAACCGTCTGTTCATCCGGGCCAACATGTAGTTCAATATCCGGAACAACGTCCCCCACCTTTTTACACCCCACACCCTTAAGAACCGACTCAGAAATAAAAGGCTGTGTACCAGCTTCATTTTGGTACATTCTAGATAGCCGTATTATACGCTGTACGTATTTAGTGCTTTATCGCATGGTAGGTCATGATACTAAGTATCAGACAGTGAGTAGCGCATATTTTTCGTGTTAAAGACTTAAAAGACAGGAATACCTGTGTACGCATTTGAACAAAAAAGTTATGATATTAATAATTTATAACCCAGTAACAGGTGTTTTACAATGCACCGTTAAAAAGTGTTTGATCGTAATATGTGAAAAATATAGTAACGTGGTCAGGCTCTATTTTCGTTTCGGTTGATAAATAAAATTCTCTGGGAAAGGACCACGTAAGAGAGAATTGAACACTGAAACTTACAAAAATCGCTGCAACTTTAACACGGCTGGCGGACTTATATATAAACCGTTTCCATATTTTTAACCTGCAATCAGGCCCAATTATAACATTGGATCATAGGGAGCAGTTTGCGTCATCATCATGTTCTCGGTTGGTTCACAGTCTATCCCCTCTTCCGTTTTCTCACATTGACCGTTTGAGGCCGGGGCGCCGTCGATCCTCTTCTTATTCAACAACGAAAATATATGTTTAAAGTTGCTCAAGCGGCTTCCGTCCACCTCTGGTTGTTCTATTTTCATAAAGATGTTCCGGACCAGACCAAACGATAGCCTTTTGATAGGGACGACGAGGCTCGGTTGTACTTCCACCGGGAAGGCGAGAAGGGTAGTTAGGAATGAAGTCTTCGTTTTACAAAGATGGTTCACCTCCGACCACAGGCAGCCCAAGCTCAGTGTGTGAGTTCAATCATAGTTTCATATTGCGTAATTTAAAATGGTCGTGAATATAAAGGATTTGTTTGAGAATTCAGGTAATAGATTCAAGTAGATATAATAAAATACAGTTTACCGTATTTACTTTGCTTGTTTTTGCTTGCTGCGTGTGGTTATTTTCCCGATCCATTGCGATTTTTGTAATACAACGCTCCTGACGAAACAGAGAACGCCTTTACATCCATCTTTTGCTGCTTAATTAGGAAACGCAACAATGTTTGATTGTTATCGTTCAGTCAATTGCTTTGCTGGTTTTTACAAAAGGGCTGTTTGAATTTGACAAATTGTTACGCCTCATTTCACGAATACAAATCGAAATGGATTGACATACTTAGTATGTTAACGATACGAACACCCCTATTTGCTTATTTTAGCTTCCACCCAAGCTACATTTAGTACAGGAGTACAAAAATCAAAGATAACAACTCTAGTTTATGTTGGGAGTTCCCGGATGGTGCACAATCCTTCGTTCATTGTTCAAGGAATAATTGTGATGGAATAAACCAATAGGTAATGGAGTGGAATGGTTATGAAGGCAGCCAGACTCCTTTGCTATATGCTTCTGTGGACCTGAAGCTGCACAACTTTCAATAGCATCCCTAGCAATGTGATCGTATTGACCAATATTAAAATTGAATTAATTTATTCGGTCACAATTTGCCAAAAGAAAACAAAGGATTGTGCACCTTAATTCAGCAAGTTTCCAACATACACTGCAGCACCGTGGTATTTTATATAGTTGATGTTTGCCGCCTTTCATAACCAGTCCCCTCTAATAACGATGAATAAACTAATGCGACTTTTTTTATTGGTCAGTAAGAACAAATGACAGGGAAGCTACCCTTTTTTCGACAAACAACAGCGAGGGAAAACCGGGTTTTGGTATAGATCAGGATCGGAAATACAGGAAAATTCTTAAAATTAAAGGCAAGGCTATAATATCGTTTCCCCTGGGGATCAAATTAAGCCAGTGCCGTGCCACGCCCATGTTCCTCTTTTGGGGTAAAGCGTATCACTTTGTTTTCTTAACATGGGTGTTCCTCCCCCTGTGAGTTTGAGCTGAACTTAAATTCGATAGCTCCAACATTGCTTAACGCAATTGATCAGTTTTACCAGTGAGCTGAAAGTGGCGGCCTAAAGAGTTTTCCTGTAGAAAGTTCGTTTTATTTTTATTGCGTGGGTTGTTCTGTAATGAAGTGGCCCAACTTAAATATAGGGTTCCAGTTCTTCCAAACTAAAGCTCGAAAACCTGCCAGTGGTCGGAGACAACATAATTATGCATTTTAAATATTAATTTTCTTCCTCATGTAAGCTCCATTTAATAATCTCTAACTGTTATTCATACGTTATAGGATTTACATCAATTTTAATTTCCTAAAACGCGTTTTCTTTTCTTCTTTCAGTGCCAGCTCGAGCGAGAAGAAACTAATAGACTTAATGGTAGGCAAAAACGTCAAAATTTAACAATTGTTCATCGAAGCTACATTGAATTTAATTCATGCATGTTGCTCGCTTATACTTTATGAAGAGTGTCCCATATAGGACGGGAAATGCTCCTCTAATTATTGGTAAGTGTTAACGCTTTGAGTTAATAACTGACAAAAATGCTCGAATCTGATTGAGCACCAGAGTATTCTAACCTATCATATTCCTAGCAACTTGTAATAAATCAGGTCAAACCGTAACGTCAATTTAAAGAAATAAAACTTTTATGCAGTAAATTTTAGTAATCCATAAAGCCATTTACACGAAAAAATAAATTGCGTGCATACAAAGACCATGAACTTAAGTATACGAGCAATACTGTACGTCTAAGGTACGTCAAAAAGGAGTTTTAGCAACAACAACGTTAACCGGCGACGGCAACGAGGACCTTTAAAAAGCAATAGCTAGGTTTTTTAAGCAAAACAACAACTTTGCAGGTTAGATTTGGATTCATTTTGCCGGTATAATTTGTGTAGGTAATAGCGTGATTTCTAGTGATGTTTGGCATAAATACTACGAGTGATATTTGGAAATTGTTATACTTAATTTCGGCTAGTGAAATTTGAGACAATTTTGAAATATAACGGGTGGTATTTATCCCAAATACCACGTACAATATCATGTTATTATTTGTTTGTATTACTACCCGCAGTTTGTAATTTTCACATGTAGGTATTTCAAATTAAGCTAAAAAAACCACTTCTCCAGTAAGCCAATCAAATTGCAGAAATTTGTCAAGTATAATGGGCATAATGGTAAAGTCGGAACATCGAGCATAATGTCGGCATAATTAATGCGTAAAGAAATGATTGATATTGAGAAAATTAATATTTCCATAAATGTAACGAAAAATGTTCACTTCAGTAAGAAATTAACTTATTCACAGGCTTGTTTGAAAATTTCTTTCAAGGCCTGGTTGCCCGACCTTTGCATCATTATTTATCGTTTATTTTTTGTAAATTTGTAATTGATGCAATAAAATATTGTGTTTCTAGTTTATGGAGGTATTTTTTTCTGCAGGCATGGGAAAGGGCATCAAATATAGCCAAGATCAGTCGAGAATAATGCTACTTTTTGAGCATAATTTTAGGCATAATGATGTTATTTTGAGGGTGACGATCAAAAGCAAAATGCTCAAATTTTCGGGCATAATGTATCTAACCCTATCACAGGCGCATCACTCATTTAATTGTGCATTTCTTTGCCGTCACTACACGACTACGACGTGAANCAACATTGCTTAACGCAATTGATCAGTTTTACCAGTGAGCTGAAAGTGGCGGCCTAAAGAGTTTTCCTGTAGAAAGTTCGTTTTATTTTTATTGCGTGGGTTGTTCTGTAATGAAGTGGCCCAACTTAAATATAGGGTTCCAGTTCTTCCAAACTAAAGCTCGAAAACCTGCCAGTGGTCGGAGACAACATAATTATGCATTTTAAATATTAATTTTCTTCCTCATGTAAGCTCCATTTAATAATCTCTAACTGTTATTCATACGTTATAGGATTTACATCAATTTTAATTTCCTAAAACGCGTTTTCTTTTCTTCTTTCAGTGCCAGCTCGAGCGAGAAGAAACTAATAGACTTAATGGTAGGCAAAAACGTCAAAATTTAACAATTGTTCATCGAAGCTACATTGAATTTAATTCATGCATGTTGCTCGCTTATACTTTATGAAGAGTGTCCCATATAGGACGGGAAATGCTCCTCTAATTATTGGTAAGTGTTAACGCTTTGAGTTAATAACTGACAAAAATGCTCGAATCTGATTGAGCACCAGAGTATTCTAACCTATCATATTCCTAGCAACTTGTAATAAATCAGGTCAAACCGTAACGTCAATTTAAAGAAATAAAACTTTTATGCAGTAAATTTTAGTAATCCATAAAGCCATTTACACGAAAAAATAAATTGCGTGCATACAAAGACCATGAACTTAAGTATACGAGCAATACTGTACGTCTAAGGTACGTCAAAAAGGAGTTTTAGCAACAACAACGTTAACCGGCGACGGCAACGAGGACCTTTAAAAAGCAATAGCTAGGTTTTTTAAGCAAAACAACAACTTTGCAGGTTAGATTTGGATTCATTTTGCCGGTATAATTTGTGTAGGTAATAGCGTGATTTCTAGTGATGTTTGGCATAAATACTACGAGTGATATTTGGAAATTGTTATACTTAATTTCGGCTAGTGAAATTTGAGACAATTTTGAAATATAACGGGTGGTATTTATCCCAAATACCACGTACAATATCATGTTATTATTTGTTTGTATTACTACCCGCAGTTTGTAATTTTCACATGTAGGTATTTCAAATTAAGCTAAAAAAACCACTTCTCCAGTAAGCCAATCAAATTGCAGAAATTTGTCAAGTATAATGGGCATAATGGTAAAGTCGGAACATCGAGCATAATGTCGGCATAATTAATGCGTAAAGAAATGATTGATATTGAGAAAATTAATATTTCCATAAATGTAACGAAAAATGTTCACTTCAGTAAGAAATTAACTTATTCACAGGCTTGTTTGAAAATTTCTTTCAAGGCCTGGTTGCCCGACCTTTGCATCATTATTTATCGTTTATTTTTTGTAAATTTGTAATTGATGCAATAAAATATTGTGTTTCTAGTTTATGGAGGTATTTTTTTCTGCAGGCATGGGAAAGGGCATCAAATATAGCCAAGATCAGTCGAGAATAATGCTACTTTTTGAGCATAATTTTAGGCATAATGATGTTATTTTGAGGGTGACGATCAAAAGCAAAATGCTCAAATTTTCGGGCATAATGTATCTAACCCTATCACAGGCGCATCACTCATTTAATTGTGCATTTCTTTGCCGTCACTACACGACTACGACGTGAAACTGCTTAATTTCACGTTTTATGGAGGACCGTTAAACAAACGGTGGCGAACGTGTCTTTCTCATTCTGAACTTGAGTGCAGTCCCCAAGAAATCAACTCCAGGGAAAATTCCCCTTTACATTAGACATTGTCATCGAATTAAAATAAACGCAACAAAGGTTTAAAAAAACGAGAATTGGGTTTTTTTACAAGTGAAGTTTGCGCTCCCGTCATGCTAAAACTCTCTAATTGCTTCAGCTCAGCGAGCACATTAAAACGCGTGTTAATAATTTCAGAGGAAGTCAGGAGCCCAATCAGTCAGGAAGTTCAATCATGTGGTGTAAAATCATAGGTCGGACCAACGTTTGGACCCATGTACTGGTCTCCATGGCTGTCAATAGGAATTTGAACCAGTTCCTGTAGTTCGTTAAATAGTGGGACCATCAGGCCAATTGCAGCTTGAATCTGATCAGCATGACCATTGAACACGTTGTCCAGAGATGTCAACAGGCCTGTATAATTTATGTTGAATTTTACCGCAGCGGTGAACGCTTGAGTATTGTTCACATACATGGACAAGTTTGGGTTGGCAACCATCGGCCAAACGGCATCGGGATCAAAAGGAATCTTGGGACCGGTGAAGCGATACGTGCAATTGAATTCCTATCAAGTAGGATTAGAAGGTAGTTTGAGCACTCTTTACACAACGGGTAGGAGAGAGCTCTGGGAACGAGCTTGTCTTTACACACAGATGTATCGGTAGTTGAAGCGTAAAAACGTATGAGTAAAGTGGCGATAGAAACAGGTTCTCCTGGTATCCCTACTATTTCAGGGGGTGGGGGGTGGCTGGGTAAGTGGGGGACTCTTCTTTGATGGGGGACCCGGAGGGAATCCCATATGAAAGGGGCGGGGAACTCGTCGGAGTTCAATATGGACTTGGCCCAACCTTTTTTGACCCTAAAAGAGACCATTTTAAACTTTGACAACATGAATCGAATAAATAAAACGAATTGAAGATATACATTTTGTTTTCATTTCTTCGCGTGCAACCCTAAAAGAGACCTTTACTGCTAAATATAATGGCGTTTTGCCCAGAACACTCTCAGTGAGACCAAAATCCGAAATTTACACCCCTAAGCGAGACGACGAGTATCCCTACCCCTTTCATATGTGAGTCCCCCCCGGAAGGGGGGACCAAGTTGGATATTTTGACCTAGGGGTACTGTCGCAATTTGTAATAATCATCGCACTTTGTAGTACCTGTCGCAACTTGTAATAACTCTCATCGCAATTTGTAATAATTCCATTTTTTTCTGCCTTAATTAATAACATGACCAACGAGAATCGCTTTTATGAAAGACATGAAACTTCCTGTGACATGTCACCAAAAAAAAAAAAAAAAATCATCTCATACATTTAAATTCAAAAATATTTAAATAACAAAGCAACATTTAACA